GTTTCTTAATTTTAACGAAATAAAATAATTGATTTAATTATAAACTAATTAATTCAAAAGTGCAAACTATTATATAACTAAACTAATTAGTAAAATATCTAAGCGGAATAAAATCCTTTTCGATGTGAATTTTGAATATTTATAAAGTGTATTAATTATATATAAAAATATGTAAAATATAAGTATTGTCTAAAAATTACAATAAGTGACATAACTTTATTTAAAATAACTTGCAAACTATTTTTTTTTTTTGAAATTTATAAAACTAATTATTTTAAATCATTTGAAATCTAAGAAGCTCGAAAATTAATTGTATCGGGGAGGGTCAAAATTGGATGTCAACAATGATATTTGAAGAAACATAGTATTTTAAATTAAGTTTTAAAAAATTGGAAATTAATATTATATTTGAATAGGCATTTAACTTTTAAAAATCAATTTTGCCTTGTTTAATTCAGTCAATTTAAAACTGGTTGATGTACAATTTAGATTGACACCCGAGAAACTCTGTCTAAATATTTTGTAAAACTATTTTTTATTTGGTATGTTGTATATAGTCATACTATAACGAAAAAATTATGCTATGTACCAAATTATAAGGAAACAACAAAGAATTTAAATTTTAGTAATAATTAGATGGATTGAGTTATATCTCGATTTTTTTCGCTCATTTCAATTCTATTTATTCAACCCAATAACTTTTAAACCATCAATAACTTATTTATTAACTTAGCGTATTTTAACATATTCCAAATTTTTTTAACATATTCCAAATTTAAATTCATCGATCCGTCCATTCAACACCCTGATTGTCCCACTCTAGTGAGATTCTAGTCATGTTGACATCGTCCACTATTAACACTTCCAAGTTACGTAGTAGAAACTTTGTCATAAAGTCCTTGTGATATAGAAATGGAATATTAACTACAACCACTTGTCTAACTTGGACCATATTCTAAAGTCTTTCCAATTATAATGATGATGGAATGAATGATGGATGACAAAAATTAAGGGTGTGAAAATAATTCTCAAAATTAATCGAATTAACTAATAAATTGAATTTAATCGAATCTAATTATAGTCATATAAAAAATTAGAATATAATTTTGTATTTTATGAAAAATGTCGAAAAATATTAAGTTGTACCAAATAAATATATTTATATTTATATTCAATACAATTGAGATGGAAACAATTACAAAATATATATCTAAATCTATCATATCAGTAGGGGTGTACGTACATGACCGGGTTGGTTCGAGTTTTTCAAATATCAAATCAAACTATTTGTGTCGAATTTTTCAATCTCGGGTTTTTTCGGGTTTTTCTGGTAAAGTATTCATACAAACATATAATTTACTTATACTTCAAATATTTCTTTAGTTCTACCAAAATACAACTATCTAAGGTGTTTCTTAAGAAAATAACACAAAATATGATATGAGTAATGACACTAAAATATCCAACAAAAAAATAATAATGAAATCACGTAAAACAAATATTGCAAATTAACAAGTCATAATGAAAATGATCATAATTTTAAAGTACTAAATCATTCTAAAATAAGTTTAATAAGTATTAGTTACATGACTAAATATTAAAGGAAATTAAATTAGATTATGTATTTGAATTGTCAAAACCAATGTAAAACCAAAGAACAAATATTCAATATTATTGTCATTCTTACTATTGAATTGATTTTCATTTTGCATTAGTATTAATTTGATTTTGATTTAAGCTTTATTATAATGACCAACATCTGTGGACTATATCTTTATTGAACCATTTAGAATTCTAAGTTTCAAATTTGAAATAATATATTAAAAGATAAAAACTATGAAAAAGTATAAGAAATATTTAAAAATTATATTAAAGTATATATTTTTATGTATAAAATAAAATTTTAAAATTATATATATAATGTCGGGTTGGTTTGGTCTTGGGTTGGTTTTTTTTAGTTAAAACCAAACCAACCCAAATATAGTCGGGTTTTTTTTTTCAATACCAAACCAAGTCAAACCAACCACTAGTCTAGTTTTTTTTCTCGATTTATGATTTGATTCGGTTTTTGGTTTGATTTTGTACACCCCTACATATCACTATTGGGCCTCAGGTGTAACTTCTTTTGGTTATAGTGTCACTAATATAACTATGCAGAAGCTTTAGTAAACTGCCAAAGAACATATGATGATAAAATGTTCGAAGTTTATAAGCTTTAGTTTGAATTTAGTAGCCTAATTTAGAGTGGCCATTTAACTTATACAGCTTTTGTAAAAAAAATCATGAGCTTATCCATTTTGAAAACAATTCAGACGTATATGATTGAATTTGAAAATTTACGTTTGATTTGCATGTAAAATTTGCTTAAATCTAAATCATCTGTATCTGAATTTGTTTTGTCAATTTTTGTTGTTGTTATTGTTGTGGTTGTGATTATTTTTCAAATATCAACAATCAACAATTATACGCTCAAATAAGCTCAAATTTTAAACATAAATTTCATGAATCATTATGAACAAATGTCAATCATTGATTTGTTAAAACAACAATAAATCTAACAAATTCAGTTAACACCCTTTTAGTTTTTTCATATATGTTTGTGCTCAATCATTTATGATTGAAACTCATATTAAAATGGGCTAAAATATCAGTCATGTGTAGATTTTTTGCCCCCAAAAATACCGTTTTTCTTCTTCAAATTTCAAAACTCAAATATACTCCGAGTAATCTCAATTTTGAAACATATGTTTCATGTATCGTAAAAAAAATTCAATCAATCAATTAGTCAAAATAACAATAAATTTAACAAATCCATTTAGTACCCTTTAAACTTTTCTATGTATGTCTGTGCTCAATTATACATGATTGAAACACGCGTTAAATTTACGTGAAATTTCAGGCGCATAATATAGAAGATGAAGAAGAGAAAACGAAGTCCTGCACTTTTGCCTGAAACTTACCTAATATATTTTTAGCAAAATAAATACTAGTTAAATAGGGCAACCAAAATAAAACACCCGATATAATTTTAGAAAAATAAATGATCTAATCTATATATGGGGTAATTTCACTTTTTGATCAGCTAATATTACAAATATCATTTTTTGGTTTGCCTCATTGATAAGACATGGCTAAATGAGATTATCCAAGAACTTTCAAGGAAAGCCCAGGTCTTATTGTATAGCGATATTTTTATGTAATTACAAAATTACGTGTATAAGCAATTATATACTAGTTAACTACTTAACATAGCAATAGTTTGTCTTAATTATAATTCGCGACCTACTTTTAGCTATAATTACGCGGCTCAGTTTTTTAGTTTTGTATAATTCGCACGTTTGTATGATTCATAATTTGTATAGTCTAATTTGTATAACTTTTGTATAATATAATTTGTATAACTGTTTACACTTCTGATGTTTGTAACTGTATAAATTCGTTATTTCGAGTTTATACAAAAATAATGAAATTATACAAATGTACCCGCAAATTATACAAACCTGCGAATTATACAAATCCGCGAATTATACAAACGAGACAACTTAAATTGTAACTATAGCCCTTAAATATGCAAACTATAGCTATGAAACATAATTAAGTTTATTATAGTGGCTATTTGCAAAAGTTCTTCTTTCATATTTTATAACATATATACACTGATATATGTATGATGTATCCCTAAATTATAGACACAATTCTCCTAGGTGTAAGCATATTGTATATGTACTATTAATGTGTGTATATATATATATATATATATTGCACAAAATTGTAATTGATAAACAATAAGATGTGTGTTATATAAAAAGAAAAGGATGTTGCTTATTTGTGATCACAATTGATCTATCTCTTACACTTTTTGATTTTTATATAGGGAAAATGGTCTGAAGTTATCATAAAGTTTGGTATCGTTATAACAATTTCGGCCAAAGTTAGAGTATTTTCCATACCATTTTCCTTTTTATATAGTACGGTCGTTTTAGTTATCTTTAAAAATTCTCCTTTTAACACTTAAAAAGAAGATAACTAAGCTACGAAAGAATATAGCCTATAGGTATAAATGAAGAAGAGAATTTATATCTTTTTCTAATCCAGGAATATAATAAAATAATAGAATAAATTTCGTCGTCAATTTATCTTCATGTGTCTTAAGAAGAAATGTTCTTTGGTAATGTATAATATTGGAGAAAAGCTTAAAATAATCCATATCTTTGGCTTTGGATTTAGATTCATGGTCATCTTTGTTCTGTCATATAGAGTAATAATAGTCTTTCATATTTATAGTATTGATACAATTTTAGTCCTCCATCAAATATATTTTCTTGAGATTGAGGTTCACCGCATCATATTTCACATGTATTAATATAAACTTTTCTTTTCTTGCAATGTTATTTATCTACAACAAATTGATATAGTTCGAAAAATAAATATATATATTTGGTTTAGTTGTAATGATTTTTTGGAAGAGCATTCTTCTTCTCACTTTTCTCTCTCATAAAATTATTGTTTCTATTAAATATAGAGGAAGACGACTGAACAATCCATATACTAAATTGTAGACAAAATTAATGTAAAAATTGAGGGAGAACCAAAAATGCACTAAAATTACAAACACAAGGGATTATAAGTGTTCTATGTGGAGAAAAAGAAACAAGAATAATTATAAGTTTTAGCCCAAAGATAAAAAGGGACTATTTTGAGCTTTTTCTTCTATCATATTGTGTTTAATAATTAACTTCTTTCACATTTGATAGTATACACTTTAAAGGTAATTAAAGATATCTATCTTTAATTAATAGAATTAATAATTTATTTATTTATTACCTCTCCCACAGAACCACCTTTTCATATTGTTAGAGACTCGAGTTCACAATCTTAAGGTTGAAAGTTATGGGTGTTTACCATCCAAGCAACTCTCTTTAACCATAATTTGAAAAATAAGACAAATATTTTTTCTCAACAGACTAAAATACACTAATTACTAAGTAAAAGTTCATCTATAATAGTGTCAATGTGTATTTTCATATATATATACAAGACAAATCCGAAATAATATTACAACAATGTCGTTCAATTTTGGAATATTATGCAATCGAGTTCATCACACATAAATTTATAATTAGAGAGAGAAAATATAAAGAAGGAGAAGTTGCTAAGAGGAGAAAGATTGAAGCCACAAATCAGCATCAATAAAAGATGAGTTGAGGAATGGAAGAGCTTGTGTATCGTTAAGTTTTTGAACAAATGGCGCCCTCAGTGCCATATTGGATCCTGCTCCGGAGCAATTATACTCCCCATAAAAAATTGTCCTATAATAATTAAGTTAAAAATTAATTAAAGAATGAAATTTATATTATTATTTTTTAGATGAAATGATTATACAGTTACTTAACTGGTCTCTCATTGGGTCATTCAAGTCGTTCCAACCCTCAGGAGCCACGATATCCGTCATGTAAGTGTTAGCAAAGATGACTGTGGAGTAAGGCCTCCACGCACGCCCCAACCAAATTCTACCAGTGCCTCCTAAAGTGCAATTCACAAAAGCGAAACCACTATTTTCGTCTTTGGTAGCTCTGCCGTGTGCTGTTACTGCCCCGTTTATCGACTTCACTCCTGGGGCTACTGGGCTTGCTATTGATATTAATTGACAGTTCTACATTCGCGCAGTTGAAACTATTGGAATAAAAACATAACATGCATGTACGTATAGGTGAAATTAATTAAAGAATGTAATTTGTGTACCTCGTAGATTGATTTGCCATTGCCAAAAATGAAGTCGATGGAACCTTGAATATAACAATCCTTAAAGTAATGACGACCACGATCGTCATGAAGGGTATCCTGAGCTCCGAAAAATCCACAACCCCAAAAGGCAGCTTCATCTCCGGCTATCCTGATCGCCACTGCTTGTGCTCCTACCGCCCCGGGTACCGGCATTGGAGCTACATTCTGTATTTATTGTAAACTTAAAGTATGTATGGGTGCAACTATATATTAATGTGACAGTGTTCAATTGAATACCGTTCGTTTAAAATTTATAATGTGGAAACAAACAGTTGAATTTCGTGTACATATAAATTATTGAGACATAAGGGAAGTTTCTAGTGAGTGACAAAGGTTGTTCAAAAACAAATTTAGTTCACAAGATTGGTGTGTTATTTAGAATTCAGTTTGTTTTTTCAATAATTATAATAAACTATCTCTTGTTTTTTCAAACTGGACAAATAAAAGTGAATACCTATTTTTAATATATTAAACAGACGAAGGGAGTAATAGTTGTACTTTCCTGCGTGAAATGAAAGAGAAAGAGAAGGTACTAAATCGCCTTTGTTAGGAGCACTTTAGTCCTAGTGTGGTACTTTCTGACGCAAATATAATCGAAATTTAATTGAGCGTTAATGCGGGTACCGAATGAACCCCTACCAAAAAAAAAAAGAAGGGTAGGTGATGATATTATATTATATTATATTATATTTATATACCATGAAACTCATATTCTTGGCAATGAAATTGGTAGAGAAAACTTGGACAGAGCCACTGTAAAATGTTCCATTTGCAGAATTGGCTGTGTCATTCCATACGATAGCTGTTGTCGTATACCCTTGCCCTTGAAATGTTATGTTAGGTTTTGTTTTTGGAATAATTACCTTTTCACTGCATTTTCAATCAAACAAAACAAAAATACGTTACGTATGTAATTTTTAAATACGTAAATTTTATTTTAAAAAATTGAAAGATTTCATGTCCTAATTGACGGTCAAATATTCAGAAATTTGACTGTCAAAAATCAAATTATGTCACATAAATTGAAACAGAGAGAGTGAGTAATAACTACTCCTACTTACAAATAAATGCCATTGCTTATCCATATTAAGCTTCTTTTGACACTAAAATTCCCAACAGAATCAACTGCAGCTTGCACTGTGGTGAAATTGCAACATCCATTTCGATCAACGCAGATAATTGACGTGTTACTAGGGTCTATAGTTGGAAAATTTGGAGTAAATTTGTCACAGGGAGATTGTCTTGCCTTATCATCGTCAGTGTCATGACGATGATGATGGTGATGGTGATGGCGATTAACAATACATAACGATAAAGCTGTAGAGCATCGATCAAGAAAGCAGTTGAAGTACGTTCGGGGCGGTTGAGTTGATGCTAAAACAGCAAAGATTGCTATGAAAATTGGGAAATATATGGCCTTAGGATTCATTTTTTTTATGGAACGATAAATAAAGAAGGTGACAATAATACTTATATATATAAAAAAATATATAGAGAAGGGTGACATTTAAAAATTGAGTTCGTGTATTATTATACCTTTAAGAAAACCTTATGATAAAAAAAGAAAATAAAGAAGTAAGAGTAGTACTTTAATTGAATGAAGTATAAGAATGGTTGGCATGTCTTGCAAATTACCCTTTCCTTTTTTGGGACAATACTATACGCAATACCTACCAACACATCAAATGAATGATGGATTTTATGTCTCTGACTTGATTAAAATAAGTGGTATTTTACCTAATTAATCAAAATAGTATTAATTTTATTTTTCAAATTTACCCGTATTTATATATTTCGAAGTCAATTAGTATAATTTTCTATGAACAAATACATATATATTTTTACTATTTCTTCAAAGACGTTTGATACACACATATAATACCATGCTATATTATTTTCACGCTACATATGCACATTCTCTTTATACTTGTCAACTTTGATAATACAAATTTAATTAAGGTTAATTTAGTCAATATTCTCCGCATTAGTTTGTAGGAGCAGACAGATTTGAAGAAGAAGACAAAAAGAAAATACTTCAGGTTACTTTAGACGGGCAAATTATCTTTTTAGTTCATACTTATATAAATTGAAGTTTGAGGTTGATATTGTAAAAAAAAAAAAAAACTAAATTAAATTGTCAAAATATTACAAAACATCTTAATTTTACATGATATTGTAAAAAAAAATTATTTTATAAAGCATAGTATAAAAATTTGTGGTGATGGCAATTAGTGTTCTTCTATTGCTGATAATTATTTATATTCAAATGACATTATAATGTCCACTTAAATATACTAATCTCTTGAAACACAACTATAATAAATTAAAAAGCAATTAGTTGTTATAAATTACCAGAAAGCTCGGAAGGTTAATTTAATGTGAACCACATTATTTAGTTCCTTGCTAATATTCTTTCATGAGAAACATAACGTGAAGTTTTCTTGAATCCATCTATCAAAGAGGGGGATGTTGCTACTATATATTATTATTGCTAGAAATGCAATTTTGAGTTTAGATTTCTACACTTGGAAGCAACTCAAAGATAGTTTGGCTAATAGTAGTTAAATTTCAAAGTCAGGTCCAAGTTGGGCAATGTTTTGAAGAACAGAATCAAATATTAGAATAGGTAATTAGCAAGGAAGGTGGAATTTTACGAGTGTAAAATTAGAGTTCGAATTTGTCAAGAATAGTATAAATTGATCCTACAAGAGTTATGTAAATGTTGCCCTATTTATATGGGTTATTGTTGACAACAAATTTTGAATACGGAAAATTAACTGCAATCAAAATAAATAAAAGAATATTTTTATTGATAAATCTTGTGGGTATAATTTTATTGTTCTTTTAGTTCTTTTTCTTATAATATTTCTTCGTAATTGAAGGATAATCAATAGCGTGTTTTTCAAATGTATGATGACTCACATCTCCTTGAGATGTATTTGATCTCCGAAAACATCGGACAACACTTCATTGTATCGGGCTGATCTCTGAAAAGGATTTCATTGAGCACTACTTAGAAGAACTTTATAGTTGTACCGATGTTTCTTTGTGTCATGGTCCAATCCATCAAGCCGTGCAAAACCTACTCTAATACCTAAATAGGAGAACCCTCAACACTCAAACCAATCATGACATACGAAAAAATATGTGAAACATAATCTAACACCCTATAAAGTTATGAAATCACTATGAATTAATTTATGTTGGTGTTTTAAAAAATGGGATAGCAAAAAGAATTAATTGAAATATCTCTCAATATTTTTATTAAGCATAATATGGATTTAAATAGCCATCTTGATAACATAATTTACAGAAAATATGCATAACAAAAATTCACAAAGGCTAAATAAGCTCAATAATTAAAACAACTTAATAAATATTTAAAGTTCAAATTCATTCTAAATCTAGGTAACTTATTTTGCTAAAAGTTTATTGAAGTAACTAAAAGCAAACTCAACACTTCTCCTTTGTTTTAGATATTGCAATTTTAAAAGGGATAATGCATAAGTACCCCTTAGACTATGACCGAAATCCCAGAGACACACCTAAACTTTGTTATCAATCTGTGTATATAAAAAATCAGAATTACTGATTTCAATAAACTTTGCAGAAACACGAAGTAACCAAAGTTTAATAAACCAGTAAGAATAGATGAACAGAAATTAATTGACAAAACTAAAATCTGTAATAAACGTACCACAATCTGGAAAAAACAGAATCAGAAAAAGATCAAGCCCACTGAATGCACAGTGTCCCCTTAAGGAAATTATTCCCCTCTAGTATCCGAGGTTTGATTTGGAATATGTCCTCCCAGGATAGAATGATCTCAATCACCAGTGTATTGATACCCAAAACGCTGGTGTCAGCGAACCACTCAACAGCAGTAAAGTACAAGAAGAAATTTTGTGCAGAAGAAGAAGAAGAAATCAGAAAAATTCGTAAGGAATAAATCTGAAGAATCAATGTATTTATAGGCAAGAGGAACTGGTTCCGAAAGGTTGCAATCCTTTCAGAATCCACACGACCATTCATGAAAGTTGCAACCTTTCAAACAGTCATGGCTGTTTCTGAAAGTTGCAACCTTTCAGAACAGTCACTGCGGGAAATTTAAATAAAACGGGAAAGAATTAAATTAAACGGGTCGCGCATGGATCCGAGTCGGGTCGGGTCAATTAACTAATTAATTGAATCGGTTAACTAACTAATTAAAACGTTGGCCATTTAATTTAATTTAATTAATTAAATAATTAATTAACTAAAATAATTAAAACAAACTTTGTCCAAAAAATAATCTCTCGATCATTTTTCCAAATCCAAATCCAAAGCCAAAGCCAAAGCCGAGCCGAGCGACGACGACGACGGCGCGAGGGGGGTCCCTCTTTCCAACCCTTTTAACAATTAATAGGAGTGTTTCTATATTTAAACTCTCCTATTTTTCTTTCCACCACCGATGAGGGACAAATGTCTTTTCAATGTCTTTTCAATAAAGCATAAGAGGACTTTTCAAGTTCTCAACTTTTTCAAGTTCCCAACTTTTTCCAAGTTCCTCTTTCATCTTCCCTCAATTTCCCATTAACTCTTGCTACATACCCAACAAACTTAACCAAGATCCCGTTGCCCCCCTGAACTCATTTTTTCGTATTTTGTGCACCTTTTGTGCTGATGTGGCACCTTCAACCACTCAAGTTGGTTGTGTTTATACACGCTCGCCCGCCACGTGTTAAAAAAAATAATATTTAAAAAAAAAAAAAAATCATTTTTTTTAAAAAAAATAATCTTATTTTTTGAATCTTGTATTTAAATTAATTAATACATTTTTTTTACCTTGTATCGAAACTTTGTTTTTTACCTACATTCATTGTTTTTTCTCTTTTATTTTTCTATTAATTTTATTTTATTTGTCTTTCGTTTTGATTTGATTTCAAATGTCTTATATTTAAAATAAGTTAATTTTGAACAGATATCAAAATAAGTGAAGAAGATCAAATAAAACATAAAAAAAATTAAAACGTTAAAATTAAAGGAAACTTTTAAGTTTTTTTTTTAAAAAAAAAAAATACACATATTTTTTAAAATAATTAAAAGTAAAAAGATAACAAATTAATTAGAAAAAAAGTTTAAAGTGAAAAGAAATTAAAATAAATATTTTACAAAGAATAAATAAAAATAATTAAATATATATAAATTTTATTGTCAATAAATATGTGTACTAACTAATTATAAAGTTACCAATCAAAAAATGACATGTGTCGGATTTGTGCACTCATCACTTGCCTTCAAGAGAGTGTGCACACTCTCTATGCCATGTCAGCGTTTGCGGTGTATTTATTCCATTTTAAATTAGTTTACGGGGGGTAATAGGACTCTAGTTAAGTTTATGTGTGTCTCTGAAATTTCGATCATAGTCTAGGGAATACTTATGTATTATCCCATTTTAAAAAGTTACTCCTCCTTGATTTCTGTTTTTGTTGTTTGTACTTGATACTTGTTTTTAAACTTGCAATTTTCACGTATTGTGTTAGGTTTCCATCAATAAAAAATGTTCAAGTGTGTTCTTCTTGTAGTAAATTTATCCAATGATGAACCTTTCAAATATAATTCAAGTTTCATCCAGTTAGGTAGACATGAACTTAGAAGGACAGTATTAGTGAGCTAAGAAGGAGAGTCAAGCTATTAAGAGTAGATTAAGCGGCTTTATAGGTTTATATATATATATATATATTTATAATCTCTTCGACCACACTCTTAAGAGTAATAAATAATGCTTACAACAACCTATATATTCCACTTTGACAGCTCAAATATGCTATCTAGGCACATATGAAAGATCATAAACTTAATTAGAACCTCGTTTGACTACATACAATCTCGGGTACACCTCTTAATGCTCTTGCTAATCTAATGACTTAGCCACACTTCATTGCCCTCATCTAAGAGTCATAATACCACACTTGTATCACTCACATTTATCGAAAAGTAGCACCTTAATTCCTCACCTAATTTATGTCAAACCTACTAGATTAGATCTCAAAACTAACATCATCACCTTCATTTTGTCATCCTTTTTATCACGACACTCATCTCAACTTCAAGCTTAGTGTCTAGTACTAAACAAAAATATCAATATAATCACATACTCTACTAGCTTACGACTACTAGATAAAATTAAGAAACACTCACCCCCACTAAGACCACATGCCAAGTAGTCAATATTTATCGTCAGTCTGCCTATTTACAAATTACCGTCACATTTCCTTTCACAACCCAAGTATTATTTATCAATTCACTACACTTTATTGCCGGAATTAGCTCTATGACCCTCTGAATACCATGAGACTTTCCCTTCTAAAATCATAATCTCAAATTAGATCTATCACCTCATGAATACTCTGCTCGTATATTCAACACCTATACTTGATCTTCATTAACACAATGACACATCGACATAAACTTATTTCTGATTAAAGTACACTCTAACTCAACATAATTAATAACTATTCATCTACATTCTATCATTAAATTCACACAAAATTATCACTCTTTAGCCTACAAATAAGGGGAATACTCCTCATTAATTATTTACTAGGTACATGACTATAACTACATACTTTACTCAATAACTAACATCATTCTTAGGTTCCTACACTTCTAAATGCATACTTCTAACTCTAGGCACTTCTACTATTACTAGCTCATAATATCACAACTCACACTATCTGTCAGGTGAAGATACATGTCCAAGCATTCTAAACACACTTCCCTCTTAAAAGGTATCACCTGAAACAAGCTTTCGAGAAGAGAGTTGAGAGTACATCTCGCCTTGGCTCAAACACACGATTCATATGAATAAGGATGCATTCTTTCAAATCAATATACTTAAGCACACTAACGGGCTTCTCACAAGCTTCTCTGTAGTCTCTTGACTTTCTGAAGACTTTATCCTAAAGTAACTCATAAGGATCTGGGCTTTGCTATTTCAAGCACCTTGAGTATGAGGAGTAGTCGAATGGATTTAAGAAACACGAGTTTGAATAAGTTCCTTATGACACAGTTCTATTGCACGATATATTATTTAAATGATTTTATTAATATAAACTAAATTATTTTTCCATGTTAGATTTTTTTTTATGATAAATTTTAGTTGAATGATTTTATTGATTATTCAAAAAAACAAAATCAGTAATTTAGCTAGATAAATTCATAATATTGAGTAGAGATATCAACTCTTATTATCTATGATTCATATAAGCAATAAAATTCACAAAGAATTTCACTTTCATTGTGTGATATTTTCCCAACAACTACGGATGTGTTTGGTGTGAAGAAAATTATTTTTGGAAAATATTTTCCAATTATCCCATGTTTGGTTGGCTTAAATGTTTTGGAAAATGGTTTCTACATCAACTCATTTTCCTCAAATTTAATGAAAATGACTTCCCTTGATAAAAAATTAAGAAAAACATTTTTCAAAACTTTACCACGTACCTCGAACCCGACCCTACCCATCCAAAAAAAATTAATTTTTTTTAATTTTCTTATTTTTTAAATTTAAAATATATTTTTACTCCTACCCCATACACCACCCCCAACAAAAAAAGTAAAAAATTTAAAATATGTTTTTTTAAATATATCAAATTTTAAAATTTGTCTTACCTCACCCAACCCCTACCCCCCCCCCCACACACAAAATATATTGTTTTGGAAAAACATTTCATTTTTTAAAAATTTCATTTTTTACTCCACCCAATACCTTGACACCCCCCCCCCCCTCACTCCCCCCGGTCAATTTTTAAAAAAATATTTCAAATTAGACTTTTTTTTTCGCTTTTTACGCCCTCCCCCCACACCCAACCCAAGCCACCCCATAAAAAAATTGTGAAAAATATTTCAAATTTTTTTAAACAAAATCATTTTTATGCCACCCCCATAAAAAAAATTAAAAACTCTTTTGGAAAATACCCCACCCCCATCGTTTTTGAGAAATATTTCAAATTTAAAAAGTTTTCATTTTTATGCCCCCATCCACCACCACCCCCCCCCCCCGCCACCCATCAAAAAAAAATTAAAAAAATATTTGTTTTGAAGAATAGTTTTTGGGTCAAGTTCTGGGTCAAGTCCTAGATCAGATTTTAGGGTCGAATTTTGGAACGGCCATCGTTTTTTTTTCCTAGTTCAGGTGACAGGGTTGGGTCCTAGATCAAATATCAGGGTTGATTTTCAGATCAGAAATTGTTTTCCTAAAGAGTACTTTCTTGTTATCCAAAAATAAAAGATATTTTCAGGAAAAATATTTTCATTCACCAACCAAACATTAAAAAAAAAAAAAATACTCACCAACCAAACATGAGAAAATAAGTTACAAATGCACTTGTTTTTCAAGAAATCATTTTCCACGAAAAACATTTTCCTTCGTAACAAACACACCCGGCCTTATATGTAACCAATTTTACCAAAGACCAAGTAAAAATCCTCGTGGACTCTTGTTGGTGTCAAAAGGAATCTAATGAAATAGATTAGCCGTAGTAAATAAATAGGAGCAATGTCAATTAGTGGGATTATTACATGAATAAAACAAAGATAATTAGTGAGTGTGGAAGATTGACTTTGTCAAAATAGTTGTATCTCATTTTTTCTACTTTACACGTTGAGTGGGGACCTACTAAGCTCCCATACAACCCCTCTAGCCTCTTTCCCACGCATGTCAATCCTTTTCTAAGTTGAATATTTGACAAATTAGACAAAGTGTGCGCTTCACTTTATTGAACATTCCTTTTCTTTTCTTTTATTGATTTTGTCGTTTGGTAATTGATATTCGTATTAAAATTTGACTAATTTGAATTTGCATGAGATAGGACTTATTCAAAGAATAGCGCTCCCCCTGATAATAATCTTTCATCTTCATGTCTCAAATTCGAGATCCATGATTAAGAAAGGAACATTCTCATGTACACTCCAACACATCCTTTAGTGGATGAACGTTTCTTTATTCTCTCTTTCTTATTTTTTTATTTTAGAACAAGGAAAAGGGGGGAAAATTTATATCATGAGTGTCGACATTCATGCCCTTTTTTAATTTCTTCTTTGTGTGTGTGTATAAGTGTATTCCTTACCTTAATTTATTTGTCATGCTTACCTTAATTTATCTGTCATGCAAAAAACATTTCTCTTTGTTGGGTTTCTTTAAAAATAAAAACAAAATATTAAAGCGTGTAGGGATTCAAAGAAATTTGATTTAACTTCGTCCTTTCCATCTAACTTAGGTACTTTATTTTGTACAGTACGTAAGTGCTTTTATAGGATATTTTGAATTGAAAATGAACCGATTGCTAGGAATGACGATGCATCCTAGGGTGGTCTCTATCTATGTATACTTGATATTTGTTCGTCTTTTCTCAATTCTTTTACATTTTCAGAAGAATAGAGAAAGACGAACAAATATTATATATATATCATTTATTTTAATATCCGTGACATAGTTTGAATCAAAATAAATCTAAAATATGCCATATTATTTTGTGTGATTCTGAAAATATTTTGAAATTTGTGATATTAAATATGACATAATATTTGTGTGGTGATTAAGTTTTTCAGTAAGAATAAAATAAAAAATATAATGCTAATTATTTTAAATTTTAAAATGTGCTATTTCAGATTATCACAAAAATTGAAATAAAGTGACGTCTCAGTAGGCTTAATTGATTATAATTGGGCAGATATAATAGCTTGCTGAATTTAATAATACATACGCACAGGAAAAAAAGAAAAAAATCCCTTTGAATTATCTAATATATAAAAAAAAAATACCTCTATTACTCCAAATAACAGTATTTTGTTAAAAGGAAAGAAATAAAGATATCAAGAAAATTACATATGATTAATACGACAAAATTTAAATTTAAACTAGACTAATATAAAATATAAAATGAACCAACGAGGAAGGATATTGTTGAGGGGCTATGTACAGGTACTGAGCACCGATATTAATGTAGTGAAAACGACGGAATGGGTAAAATTGAACGACTATTTATGTCAATTTCTCTTTTTTTAAGTAATCAGAACGTGAAGTTATTTTCCGACTTGTTCTCATTAGAAGGAGAAGAAGTATGGAGAAAATTACCAGCACGACCTTGAGCAGCAGGAGATGGTCGAGTAGTTGAACTGCCCAATGTACTGAACATGTAAGGCAATTGGTTTTGCGGCACTGGCTGCGCTTGAAATTGGATATTATAAGTATTGGGGTTCATAATTTGCTGATTATTAGGCCCAAAACCCAAGTAGGCCCCCTGCGATGGTGCAACAGATCCACCAGTGAACTGTTGCACCATGGCACGGAAATTTGTAGTATCCGTGTTCAACACGGTGGTTGGTGTTCGCCTAGAAGCCCTTGATCGCCGTCTGATGGGCTTGGAAACACGCCCGTCAGATGGCCCGGTGCCGTGTTGGTGTTGGTGTTGGTGTTGGTGGTGATCTGGAGCACTGACTACAGAAGAGGCCGTGGTGGTGACAATTGTGGCATCGGAGAACATAGTGGTTTGTGGAGATCTTTGAGGTTGATAGAATTGCATCCAATTTGTGGGGTTATTTGGCATGGTTTCACTCATGCCTATAAAAATAATAAAAAAGTAGAAAAGAAATGAGAGCTTTTTTGTTTTTTGAAAACCTTGTGTAAAGAAGAAGAAATACAAACATAGGATGATCCTTTGAATTTATAATAGTAGGTACATAGTTTTGGTTGGTCAAAGTACATGACTAATACATATACATAAAAATAACTATAGTAGTTAGTGGTAGTATCATCATGATCAAAGGCGGAGCTAGAAGTTTGGATATATGTTCAATTGATCTCACTAACTTGTATTCTAATAATATATTTGTGTTAAAAATTATATTCAATTTAAAACTTGGCTATTACTCGCTTCGTTTAAAAAAGAATTATCTAGTTTGATTTGATACAAAATTTAAGAAAATAAAAATGATTTTTCAATCTTGTGATAATAAATTAAAGTTATAATTAATATATTGAAATGCCCTATAATCTTATCGTCATAAATATGTCGTGTGAAAAATTGAAATTAAAGTATTATAAAGAAAATCATTCTTTTCGAAAACAGACTAAAAAACAAAAATAAGTCACCCTTTGGATCCGGCTCCCCTCCATTACCCCTTCCCTCCATTTCGTCAAGTGCACATCTAGATTAGAGACATATGTCATATTTAAAGTTTAAAGGTCAAGATTATATATATTAACAAATATCATAACCATAGTTAAGTCAATTAATTTTAGAAAACTACTTTCCAAATTTGGTAAGGATTACAATATATTCTATACAAAATTTGATATTTATTAATATCATTAATTTCATATTATATTTTTGTATTTAAATATTAAATTGTAAATTTTTAGTTTTAAGCCAATTATTTTTAAATGATAAAAGATTGCTCTTGTGCATTCTTTTGATTACTTCTTAATTACTTCTGATCAATTCCAACGTTCTCCCTTTTTTTGGGATCATTTTTCAGCTTATTTAATTCTACTAAACAATTGCTAGAACGGAAAATGATTTTTTTTGTCTATTGCTACAGTACGTTTTAAAAAATATATATAATTAAATAATTGGAGTGGATTAGTAAGATGAATAAAATAGATACCTTCTTATTTCTTATAATAAAAATAGTTTAAAATAAAATTAGATTTCAACAAAAAAAAAACATTTAAATTGATTGGGTGACTTCTTAAGTGAAATATCAATAGTTGAGTGACTTCTAAGTTATAATCATTAATTTCATATTATATTTTTGTATTTAAATATTAAATTGTAAATTAAAAATATAATATGAAATTAAAGATATAAATAAATATCAAATTTTGTATGGAATATATTGTAATTCTTACCAAATTTGGAGAATAGTTTTCTAAAATTTATTGACTTAACTATGGTTATGATATTTATTCATATGATATAATCTTAACATTTAAACTTTAAATATGACACATGTTTCTAATCTAGACGTGTACTTGACGAAATAGAAAAAAAAAGTAATGAAGGAGAGCCGGATCCCTGACAAAGGAAGTAAGATTTGAAATGTTCATTTAAAAATTTGAAAAATTATAAAATTGAAATTTTGGCTCCTCTTGCTACCGATCATGACCCAACTGCCGCCCCCTTAGCCGGGGTCCTTATTGACACGTGAGTATCACGTGGGTCTGCTGGAAGAGAAAATATGTTATATGTTTGTTGAATAATCCTCTTTATGCTTTTTAATTTTCTCATCATGTGAACTAGATATACATTGACAATTCAACGAAAAAAAACAAATTTATTTAACAAATAATAATATTTTTCTATTAATTTAATGTTAAACTTTGTAACACGTTCTTTAAAATCTTTCCGTTTCAATTTACTTGTCAAATAATTTTTAATTTAATTTTCCTTTTTACTTGTCATTTCTAACAAATCAAGAATGAACAATTTATTTCTTCTACTATATCTTTAATTTATTAACATTGCGTTAATGTCTTTGAAAAATGTAGTGAGTAATATGTTTAAGACTCTATTAATTAATAGGGTAAAATGGTAAACTCATTATATCAATCATTATTTTTTTAATAGTTTCATCAAATCAAAATTTGACAAATTTTTTTTTTTAGTTTTTTCTTTTCCCTCCCTAGGAGCTCCCACCCCTTTTGCTCCTTTGGTGACTCGAACTTGCAACCTTCGGATTGGAAGTGAGGGGTGTTTATCATCCGAGCAACTCCCTCTCGTCAAATTTGACAAATTAAAGATCAATGAAAGATCATGTTATTTAGTTATTAATTACTCCCTCCGCCCAAAAATAGAAGTCCACTATACTATTTTAGGATATCCAGCAATACGTGTCTACTTTATGAAATTAATGGATGATTTTATATTTAGTTCCTAATTTACCTTTATTATTAATTATAGTTATTTCCCTATTACATTTTTCAATACATTGTATTTATTATATTCAAAGAATGATAAAATAAAATTACTCTTCTACTTATTGTTAAGTGTATAAAATTAATAGTGGACATGTATTATTGGACAGAGACCTTTGTTTAGATTTGGTTGGAAATATAGTTTTGGCTTGAGTTGAGGTATTGAAATTAGTGGTTCAATCAACAAGAAATTAATTTAAGCGGTAAAAGTCAAAATTATTTTTGAAAGCTAATTAAATTATTCATTAGGAATTCATGTCTAGTCACAACGGACCAAGATAATAACATTTTGAAAAGGAAAACTCCATTAAGTCTAGAACAATGACATTCAAAAAGTAATATTTCCTTTCATTTTAATTAAAATATTTTTTTATCGAAAGAATAATAATTTTTCAACAAATATAAAAGTAAACTCAAATGGATACTGTATAGTAATTATTATTGTTAATAAGAGAAAAAGATAGAAGATAATTTGGAGGATCACAAAAATTCAATATAATTCAATACGGATTAGGTTTTATGAACCCTGAGGGGTAGCTCAGCTGGTAAAGGCCTGGGACAAAGTCCTTCAGGTCGTCGGTTCGAGCCCCAGCAGGGCCACTGGAGGCATTACAAACCGGCCGCGTCTCCAGGGCCCCGTGGAACTAACCGTGGTGGACCCGCCTTGAAACAGCGGGACCCGGTGGGTACAGCTAGTCGGGTTCGCAAAGCGACGCCCGGAAACCACGGAGAAAAAAAAAAAAAAAAAAAAAAAAGATTAGGTTTTATGAGTGGCTGCAGTTGCTGGGAGTGCAATCTTCTAGATGCTATAGTCATTCAAAGTGATGCATCTAGAAAATCAAATTAAATAAAAAAGAGTTGAGGCAAGTTCCAAGAAACAAGGGTACCTTTCCATCACAACCATCACAGTTCAGTTATTGTCGGTCGCTATTACACCTATCATCTTCATTATTATAATTTATTATCGTTAACACCTTCACCACCGCTATCAATCCCTATTACCCTCCACCTCCACCCAGGGGTGGATCTATGAAGGGGTGTGGGGGTGTCACGCCACCCCCGAACTTCAACGGAAACTCTATATATACATAGGTATATATATATAATATTTATATAAATATAAAGCGTACCACCCAGAGAATAAAACTGGCTTGTGGTACCACAGTATGAGGGCAACTTTAGAAGACTGATGTTGCGGGTTCGAATCCCATTTGTACCTATTTTTTTGAGAAATTTGCTGCAAACAGCTGGCACATTTTTCTTTTTCTTTTTTTATAATTGTTATTGACTTAAATTAAATTAATTACATTATTACTCTTTTGACTTTTCTTTTATTTACTCAATAAAAGTGTAATATCTTATTATTTATATTTTATTGATTGATTTATGATATATATCGAAAAGACGAATAATTTAATCAAATATAAAATTAATTTAATCAATAAGTCTATTTGACACCCACGAACTCTAAATCCTGGATCCGCCACTGCCTCCACCTCCACCACTAGCACCAACACAGATTACCACCAACACATCAGCAAATACCACATATTAATTCTTCAGCTACTATACCTTCAAAACCGTCAACTACAAGCATTAACCAACTTCATTATCATCTCATCAGTTACTCCATTTTGCGTATATAAATGTCCTATTTTTATATCAAATAATAATTTTATTTTAGTAAATATTTATATTTTTTAAAATTAATATGTAGTTATTTTTTATTTGAATTGTATACTTTTTATGTTTACAACTAAGTAAATTATGCACATTCACTATTTGAAAAATAAAACCATCTTAATAATTCAATTTTTTAATCTAGAGACAATATCTTAATCATTCAGATTTATGTTCAATTCATATATCTTAATCTTAATGAGAATAAATGTTATCTAATGGCTAATGATATCCTAATTCTTACGCCAAGAACAATCCACCGGAAGGGCATACCTCAAGGGGCACCAATCTCCCCGACAAAGATCTATTTGCGCGAAGCCGACCATTTTAAATCATTTACTTTATATAAATAATGTTAAGATATTTATATCTTTCATCTACGTAATATGACAATTTTATTTTTAATTTACTAACATTTCTAATAATAAGAAATTTATCATTGTGATTTTTGAGTGACTAGCAGGTGTTTGGTCATGAGATTTTATATCATGATATGAAATCATGAGATGAAATGAACATTTTGGATATGTGATTTTATGCAGATTTCATCTCACGATTTCATATCATGAGATGAAATTCTAAATTTTCCAAAAATCATGATTTGAGAATTTCAAATCATGATATGAGATTTTTCTAAGTACACATTTGGCCATGTGATTTCATCTCATGATATGAAATCATGAGATGAAATTAACGTTTAGACATTCGATTTCACGCTGATTTAATCTCATGATTTCATATCATGAGATGAAATCCCAAAATCTAAAATCATGATTTGAAAATTTCAAATCATGATATAGAATTTTTCAAATACAAAAATTGACCCACAAGTTTATATTTTGCAAAAATAACCACATTTAATTTATATATATCTACTAGCCATTTGTTTCACATGTAAATAAAATTTATAATTCATATAATTACTTTTTAAACAATTATATCTCATATAATGATTATTTTTCTCCAATATAAAATTATTTTTACTTCAAATCATTTCTTAATTTCCATTTATATTTATCAAATTCATTATTATTTTTTATCAAATTTACTACTACTTCATTCAAATCAATGTTTTATAACAATAATAATAATAATAATAATAATAAATATCATCATTATATTGATTGGACTACACTAATCACTATGACATTAATTGCATATCATAATTTCATATCACAGGATCAAACGAGTGCTTAAACATTAAGATGAGTAAAAAGGAAGTTAAAATTTATAATCCTCATGATTTATTTGGAAGGAGTGGATGGTAGGTAGGTATCTACTGAACAGGACTTCAATTAAGTTGGTTGTCTCCCCACTTTTGGAATTGGAAGTCTCTCCTGCTTAATTTTTCCCCTCTTCCGCGAAACCTACACCAACTTAGCTTTCCACATATCATTATCATGCTTTAAATGACCTTTGACTAGTACTCCCACGATTCACTTTTATTTATTATTTTTAATATGTTATGAAAAAAGATAAATAATTTTTTTATATTTTATTTTTATTATTGATTATTTATTCCCTAATTATTTTTAAAGATTTGTAAATTGTACTATATTAAATTTTGAAATTTGAAATGTGTCACATAAATTGAACCAGAGAAAGTATTATATTGATTAAACTATATTTTCTAAAATTTGAAACTCATAAACTCAAAATGTTAACTCTGCGTTAATTGTGACCTAATGATGCTCTATAGTCAATGTCTCTATTCCAATGACAAAAGTATGAATAACGCATAATAGTCAATGTTATAGTACTTCCTACACATCGTCATGGATTACGATCCTAGTATGAATTATAGAGCCATCCAACTCGTGATTAATTATTCCACGAAAACAACATTTATTCTTTAACTTCTTTGACCTGAATTTTGGAGTTACATCTCCAAAGTTTAGAAGTGATTATGATTTAATTACTTACAATTGATGGACTAATAATTAAAGGTCTTGAGCCCCTTCACAAATCACAAAAATTGTGACACATGGTTGATCTACAAAGAACGTGAGAATGGATTGTTTGAACGGTCGCTTAATGAGTGATAATTGATCATCAAAGTCATCTACTTTTTAATATATTTGACATATGTTTAATTTTAATAAAATCCGCACCCATTTGGTTTATCAATAGATGGGCAAGATATTTTATGAATTGAGATATAAATCAAAACTAATTAATATCTATAATTAAAAGCTAGATAAAATAATGTTGTATTTTATTCAAAATTAATTATTATTCTTTATTTAACTAACCAAACAATCCACTAGTATTTGAATTGGGAATGTGAAAAACTCCGGGACAATGTTCAAACTTTATCATGGAGTGGAGCCGTTTTTTAGAATTATAAAATTTTATAAACACACTTTACTGCAAACTCTTTATTAGCCAACTTTATAATATAATGTGCATTGTGGAAGGTTTGTAACAAGTAGTAGAGCAACAAAGATCACATTTAGACCCACGTGAGTTTGAAACACTTAAAAAGATTTTTTTTATCCCTTTCCCTTCCTTGTGTATTCATTATTTATACTTTAATGTAAAGTAACTCTTAAAGTCATGAAATCCATGACTTTTTCATTTATGGAACCACAAATTTCATGACTATTATCTTTTGATTTCTCAATCGTAGAGCCACCAACTCCATCACTCTATTCTTGAATTGTCAAAATATAAAAAATCACAAACACAAACATATAAGCTCCGTGATATTTTTCATTGACAATACGGGGCCATACTAGGTATGGGTAAGGGGTTTTCTTAATGAAAATTCTGACTCCGTCAGTATTTATTGATGTTGCAACTCATTAGTGAAAATTCTGACTCCGCCAGTACTTATTGACGTTCTAAGTCCAATATGCAGCCAACTGCCAAGGCCTAATGGGCACAAAAACACACGTGTTATATGGAAGGCAGTATGTATAATTTTTGGTAGATAGTTCTGTCTTTGGCTATGAAACTTGGAACATGCATTTGCAGAAAAGCTTTTGAAAGCAACAAATCATGACACCACGTCAATACTAGGAAGGTGCATCTTTAATTTTACTTGTTTTTATTCATTACTAAACCAGGGGCGGAAGCAATGGATTCGACAAAACTCATCAGCTTTGATTCAAATTATATATATTGAGAAATGTATCAATTTTGTATTAAAAATAATTGGAATCCAATTGCTAGAACTTGAAATTGTTGTTATCTTTAAAATTTATATTTTCAACTCGATTGTATTACTAAAATGTGTTCTATCACTACTGACAAAAGAGATATTTATTGGCAATAGAATTCTTTTTAGTGGCAATATTTGTTGACACAAAAACATTAACAACAATTTCGAGTTAATGTCATTATATCCAGAATCACTAAAGTCGTTAATAATATTTATATAAAATGTTAGTTATAAATACACATTCATATTATTATTCATATTATTATCGCAAAATTCTTTATTTTTTACATTGAATTCTCTTATTAATTACTAATATCTTCTTCATTTTCCCTAAATAAAGAGTAGTACTAAATTTCCCGTCTTCTATAAACCTATTGAATTAATTAATGAGGATAAATTTGAAAATTTAAACTAACCCACATTAGGCATCGCCCCTATATTGCACGAGAAACAGACATTTTATATTGTGAGGCCGTCATTATAGGAAAACTGAAAAGTCAAACAAATACTACTAGCATTGGGGTGGGCGTGGTATAAGTATGTATCGAATTATCATATTATATTGAAATTTTTAGTACTGTAATTTTGATATTATTGTATTTGATATAATATATGGTATATATTTTAATTTTTTTTAGTATTCGATACGGTATTTGATTTTTAGAAACAACATATTGAAATGTCAAATACTATACCGAAGTATATAGTTACACAAATAATATATATATATACTAACAAATATACAACCTAGTATTAGTATAAACTAAATGTTTAGAAGTTAAAATTTTGATTACTCTATTTTGATTTAAATGTAATTGATTAACAAAAGGAGTTGTTTGTACTTTCTTTTGAATTTATATTTCTACAGGTGTAATATGTTAGTATGATACAATTGAGACCCCTTTTTGAATTGTCGAAGTCATAATAATCTATTATACAAGTATATATCATCGAAGTTGAACAAACTATGATTACCAATTTACCATACCACAAAATACCAAAATCGAACTTCAAAATACCAAATTAAATTGATATGATAATGGTATAATAATTTTAAAAATTGAATACCAAAATTTCAAATACTGTATCATACCATACCATATCATGTCCACCCCTAACTGGCACTAGCGGACTTTTTTTTTAATAATCAGATCCAAAAAATAATAATTAATGGGTGTAACTTTTTAAAAAAATTATTATTGAATTTATTGTACTGTTTGATTGATGAATTTAAATTTAATTTTTTAATTTTTTTCAATAGATCTTTACAAATACATTTATATTCCGAGAATAATATGTTGTCCGATGTGTGTTGATCTTTTATTAAAGAAAAAATCAAACCAACTACCTAACGGTCTTTTTGGTCGAATATTTAGTTTTTTCCCTCTAAACATGCACATACAAACTCACATATATCATATAGTAAAATAAAAAGTTTTAGTAGGATAATCAATATAGAAAATAGAAAATGAAATATAGTAAATTATTTTTGCATTCCTCTAAAGAGTGTAATAATACTCACATTCTCTCGAGAATAAATTGTAGAAACTAACACCATAGACAAAGTTTTCAATCAGATTTGTAAACAGGTTTTATGCTGCTGAGTACAGATGATAACATGAGGAACACCTCAATAATGGATGTTGCAGGGATCGACGAAAAAGGATTAAGGTGGGAGAAAGAACAGAGTAAAATTTGAGAAACTGTGACTTCAGTGAAGATATAGAAACCAATGACTCAAAGCAATCAACCCACACACGATTCCAGAATCGAACCCATAATATTCTCAGACGCGAGGGCAGAAGACAGAATTCTCTTCATAAACAATCGAACATTTCTCATATAACATGTTGCTTTCAGAAATAAAAGAAATATTGAAGTCCTTATTGTTATTCATCTAGTGATCTTCAATAATGTACATTAATTTCCTTCTATGTTAAACATGCTTAAGCATAGAAAAAAGTAATCTTAATTTCCTCCTATTCAGCTAACTTCCTAAGGCGATATATTAAGCATTCTTTCCAATCCAGCAGAGAGGAACACTAATCCTGCTAATGTTTTCCTGTGACACTGGTTGAATTGTCCTACAGTAGGGAGCAAGAGTGAAATTTGAACTCACACTAAACACGAAATAACAAAATATTGAGTAAATAAAATGTGCCATATCAGATGAATTTCCCTGAATGTTGAAAGAAGGACGCACTAGTGGTGCTCTGAAGCTAAGCTGTCCCTGCAACTGCAATTCACTACGTGATTTAATTCAACAAAAATACGAGATTTAGGTCTTTGTGTTCATACCAGTCCTTGAATACTTTGAGGAGAGTAATGACCACCGTGGGCTGATATATAATTCAAGTTTCCCTGTGAGAGAGGGGAGGTAAAATGGAACAGAATTGGATGAAGCCCTTCGTACTAAACCAAAAATTTAGTCCGGCTTCTCATCATCAAGTTCCTAATAAAATAGTTGCCTTACCAGAACACTGTGTGAGGCTTGATGATTGCTGCAATAACTATCTTGTAACATAGAAAATGAACTCAACTGGCCCTGAGAAAATACCAAATCATTGAATGAGTTCTGTTGAGCAAAAAAATATTAATTACGTGCAATTGTTTCAAAGTTTGAACGCAAAAAGAGGATGCAGCACCGATCCATGAACGCTCTGATGAGGAGGAGCATAGTATCCCTCAATAGTTGCCATTCTGGAGCTTAGATCCTGTAGTCATACAAAGAAGGGTCAAAAGAGCTTGACCGCAAGTAAATTATGGTCTAGCTAGGGATATCTCATACCATTCCTTGTACATGCCTCTGAGCATGGAAAGCATCTTCATGAGTTGGTAGTTTTGAGTTTGATTGATCCTACAAAAGAGCAAAACAGAATGAATAAATGTGACCGAGCTTACGACACATGTGCAAACGATTGTAAGCCAAAACATATACCATCTGCAGGTTGCTATCTTGGATCCTGGTAGATAGTACTTCAACGTTAGATTGAACCTACAGTTCCTCCACTATTAAAAAGTCTATTTTGGAACTATTGTTGAATCTGCTGAAATCATAAGAGCTTATACTACCTTGCGCTTCTTCTGTACTTTCTTTCTCTTTGATGACTTTGCCATGCTACCACCTTGAATCTCTTCGTTAAAGTTAGTATCGCATTGAGAAAATGAAATGTTAGAGACTAATGCACTCTTCACAGAGTTGTTTGCATTGACACAGTCATGCAATGCAGCTTGGAGTGTGATTACAGCTGATTCATAGGTTTCCCAGGATAATGATCCAACTTCGCCAAATTTGGCAGCAAGTTTGCAAAGATCATTGAGACGTTGGATCCTGTAACGAGGGTTGTGTGGAATCCCACATGCTGTCCCTTTAGTTTTTGCCTCTCGTGTCCACCGCTCTAATTTATACAGAGCGGGGATATTGGGGACACCAGATACTTGAAGAACCGTAATTGCATGTCTACAAAGAATACCTGCATACTCAAAGAAATGGCATGAACAGACGATGCAAGAATCTCTTGCACACCAGGATACCATAAAACTCTGGTGTTTTTTACGGTCATTAACCCTATACAACTTTTCTGCTCCCTCTTCACCTTCATTCAGAATAGTGCAAGCAGCAACGCCAAAAACCTCAGCTTGAAATTTCATGAATACTGAGTTTGTATAGACAGTGGACATTTGTTTCTCATAAGGAGAGAGAGTTTTTATGGTAGGTAGTCTATGACGTGATTCAATATCAGCTTTTGCTTCCTCTTCATACATCTCATGCACGAATAGTTTGTATTGACCAATGAACTCTTTGAATTCAGTCTCAGAGGAAATGTACCTTTCAAAGAAGGAGGATACACTTTCAGACCGCTCAACTGTAGAGAGTCCAGCCAAGAAAGTATTCCTCATGTACACTGGAACCCATTTTGTTCGATTTTCAAACAATGACCGAATCAAGTCATCATCCCTCAGTTTGAATGAATCGACCATTTTCCACCATCTTTTTTCAAATTCTTCTTCTTTAAGTGGAAACCACATGCATTTCTTCAACTTCTTTACAAAATCTTCAGGCTTAGTTATCTTATTACCAAGATTTTGAGAAACTTTTCCCATTACATTCCACAAACAAAAGCAATGTTGTGCCTTAGGGAAGACCTCCTCTACTGCTTCTTTCAGGGAAATGTCATCATCAGTAATAACGACTCTAGGACTTTGGCCACCTACAGCTCTAAGCCAAGTGCGCATCAACCAAGAAAATGTTGTTGATGATTCGTCCCCAACCAAGGCACATCCAAGCAACAAAAATTGGAAATGATGATTGACCCCTATGATGGGTAAAAATGGGACTTTATACTTGTTTCTGATGTAATATGTGTCCAAATAAATTACATCACAAAAATGGACATAATCATTTCTACCTTTTGCATCAATCCAGAACACATTTCTCATAGAGTCTATAGCATAGTAAGAATTAGGTCTCTCGGCTTGCATAAGTGCTAAAGTATCAAGCAGCAGTTCCAAATCCCCCTCATCCAACGCGAGCTGCAGTCCTTTTTTCTGGTAAACAACATCGGCAGATTTCTTGCTCCTACCCTTGACAGAGTAATAAAAGTCATCCTGGCAAATTTCATGATTATGCTCCTTCATGAAACTATGTATATACCATTTTCCATCTTGCTTTCTCTTCATATGAATACTGGCCTTGCAATCAGTCTTGGGACATGATCGAGAACTACCAGACTCACGCTTGGTCCCAAATCTAGAACAAGCAATCTTCACATCAATAAATTTCCCCGACTTCTTTGACCTACGACTAGCCTTTATTGTGATGCCAAATCCCACTGACCTTGCATATTCCCTGTAGTAAGAATATGCAGCCTCCTTTGTATCAAATTCTATACCCTTTTCTATTCCCTTATCTATAATATCAACATCAACAATATCCATACCTATCCCATTGCCACTTCTATCAGCATTCTCTTCCCCGACATGACTTTGAATTGAATCATCAATAGCATTTGTATCCACATACACATCTAACTTTTTCGAAGGCAATTGAAGATCAATTTCCATAACTTAAACCCTACCGATGCACATTTTATGAATTACTTCAACAAACAATTAAGGATTTTGCCCTCAGTAGTAATCTTCTAATCTAGTTCAGTTTCATAACTTAAATGTCTGAAAAAGTTAAGGAAAGATCAATTACAAGAAAAATTAGTACAAAAATCAACAGAGCTAAATAAACCACAGCAAATCCAATTAAATCCCAATAAAAAATTGTAAAAAAATAATTCAGTTTCTAATTATGTGTTATTAGATAGAAATAGTACCTGGGATTTTGCCAAATTAGGGATGCAAACTGAAATTGAAGTTTATATGAACCCTAAGGCCAGCAATGGAAGGAGAAGACACAGTACCGCACTTCTTTTTTTTATCTTTCTGTTCAATTCAAAAAAAAAAAAAAGCTCATAAAATTTAAAAATATTATAGTATATTTTACCTACATAGATTCCAAAGTGTTATTTATTCTTTGTTATAAATTCTGTGTATCAACTTAAAATCAGACAAATAAATTAAAATAAATAAAGTACTTTCCGTAGTTCATATTTAAGTTAATTGTTGGGGTATGACATACATACTCCTCCAAAAAATTGTCATACTTTACACTATTAGTTTTTGATTATTTTCAATTATTCTCAAGAAATTATAAAATAGTTAAGAACTTTATTGAATGTAAGATAAATATGGAAAAAGTCTCAACATTTTCTTTGAATTTTTTATAATTTATTTATTTTAAACTAGGAAAAAACTATCAATAATTCACTCAAATTGAATAGAGAGAGTAATAAGTAACATGCATATTTTATGGTAATATGTATGTATAGTTTCAATGGACCTAAAGAAATGATTGGAGAATGAGAAGTTAATTTGAGTTAAGGATAAAACAGAAAAATAAGTTTATTTTACTCTTTATATGTTAAATGAACAAATAAAAGTGAACTTTAGTGAAAATGTATAAGTGAATTGAGGGAGTAATAATCAAACTTAGATTTTAATAGCATAACTAATAAGAACAATATAATAAAATAAAGTTATTAATAACTAAATTTTTTAAAAGAGTACCAAACAATAAAATTAAGTATAATAGAATAGAGAAGTACATTTGTTTATGATAGTCAAGTAAATTACTCTAATATTCATTCGATTTCATTTTAATTGTTTAATATATTAAAAATAAATATTTTTTATTTGTTCATTTTAACAGATTTGAAAAAATTAATTATTTTATCTAATTTCAACCTTATCATTAAATAAGTAAAAATTTCATAAGATGTCATATATGAACATATGATTATTTAGCGAATACTCAATTTAAAAGAAAAAAAAATTGCACATTTATCCATTTTTATTAGTATTAAAGGTTAGTATCTTTTACTTGTCCATTCTAAGAATAGGAGTATTATTTTATATATTTATTTAATAAAAATAATATTAAAAATATAAATTTCTCTTGATTTATTAGATAGATAAGTAATACTCCCTCCGTCCAACAATAGTTGTCCACTATTGACTTGGCACACCCCTTAAAAAATTATAAATAGAAGGGTAATTTTATAATATTATCATTTATATAATAAATACAATGTCTTGAAAAATGTAATAGGGAATGACTATAATTAATGATAAGGATAAATTAGGAACTAAGTGTAAAATTATCCATGAATTTCATAAAGTGGACAAGTATTGTTGGAATGGACAAGTATTATCGGACGGAGAGAGTAAAAAAGATGTATTTTTAGTATAACAATGAAGTAAAATAGAAAGGAGGAAATAGGTGAAAGTAACACAACTTAAGATATCATAATTTCTAAAACTTCTTATCATTAAAAAAAAATTACAAAAATCCCCTCTCATTTACATTCCTATTCCTTATCGGATACATACCTAATACCTCCCCTCTAGATTACATCCATTCCCTCCTGGAGACATTCCTATCCTCTCTCGGGTACATCCCTCCCATTAAGTAATGTATCATTTGCAATGTATCGAAGAACAATAATATATCCGAGAGCAATAAAAAAATTAAAATTTTTATAATTGGAAAAACTTTCGGAATAAGATGTAATTTACTTTATACTAAATATTAAATAATACAGAATCATATTTACCTGAATGACTTTCTTATTATTTTTTATAATAGTAGTACTAAACATCCTGGTTACTGAATTAATACAAATCATGTGCCCTTTTCAATTATCTGTAACTTCAAGTGGAACAGTAAGTAACCAATTATTTACATATTCTAATCTCGTTTAACATTTTTCTTTTACCACCCATTATTTGGCAAAAACTAAGAGATAAATAACACTACATATTTTTCCTTTTTTGTTTTGGTACGAAAGAAAATATTTTCCATTGAAAAATAAGTGACTTTCTTACTTGTTTCGATATTTGGTTAGTAAATAAAAAGTATTATCCCAACATCATTTATATATAATCTAGACAAATACTATGACACCGGACCAAACCCAATGCTTTCGCAATCCGCAGAAGTAGCTTCAATTGAAGGTTGCGTAATAGCCAATAAAAACATTGCTCTACGACTCCTTAGAGGTTGAGGAGTGAACAAGTTTCATCACCAGGCTAGACTTTAAGACCTTGACCCAACACAAAACTCGATTATGTACCCCCGGCTCGATACTCACCTCTCAACCTTGACCGAGACCTATGGTTTGAATCCAACTTCAACCAAACTTCCAAACCTGACCCCAAGACACCAACACCAAACTTCAACCCTGACTTTCAATCCCAACTCAGGACTCAACTCATAAGCTCGACACTGACCCAAGTCTCAACCCTAACCCAAATCTGGATTGAGAATTGAATAGGCGACTGATCAGGTTGAAAGAGAGTTTTGAAAAATATTTTTTTTCAAATAAGTCTACTTAAAATACATTTTTCTTTCCACTGTAACGCACTCACTATGAAAAGGACAACTTATTTTGTTACAACAGGACACCAAAAAGAAAAAGTAACATATTACAAAAAAATACATATATCAAAAAATACTTTCCATCAAAACAATCTCACCATTGGGTTGGAATAAAACATGCTTCAGAGCAGAAATATTTTTACTTCATCCAGCTTCTGTCCAATTTATACTCAACAACTGCACCCAGCTGGACTCCAAGAGCCCTATTTATCTTCACCTCAATAATCCCTTTCACCCAGCAATTAATAAAACAGCATTTACAGGTGAAATTAACTTAGAGCTGTCTATACTTATCCTCTCTAAATACCAAAATGAAAAGAAAGATAGAAACACTTATTTATCAACAAATGGGAAGAAAAAAAAGGCACTGCCTACATTTACAACTCATTTGCTTTAACTTGAAGAAAAGTGTACATATCTTCACATCAATCATCTTTACTTGCTGTAACTAATACATCCCACAACAGCCTTTACAGGGTGAAATTAACTTAGAGCTGTATTTACTCTTCCAGTTCTAATATCAAAATGAAGGGAAAGATTAAGGAGTTTGTTTATCAAAGAACAAAAGTAAAAATAATAAAAGCACTGCTGCCTACATTGAAGATCCCCTTTTATTTTACAAACAAATACTACAACATTCTTCCTGTTGGTTGTACTTCCATAAACAGCCTGTAATGGAAGTTGAAAGAAGAACCTCATCATTCAATAGGTTCAACTTGAACACATCTGTAATATCAACTAGCAATGGAAAAACATATACCTAATTAATGACAAAGGTGATCCTCATGGATGTCTAGATGCTTCGTCGTGCAATTGAGAAGATCTTACATTGGGTTCGTCCTGTAAACATTAAGAAAAGCCATATGAGTCCAGCAGAATTTAGTGGTACTGCACTTAGCTAGATTAATTTTCCCATGTGGAACTCGAGTTCCTGCTTGCAACATTGCTAAACTATTTTTTAGCAATATGAACTACCATTGCTTGTTTTGCATGTTTTGTACAGCAACTGCAGTTGGCCATTTTTATTACTTTAACATTCACCTAGGCTTCCCCCCAATTGAGCAAGGAAAGAAAGCAAGTTAGTATATGCAAAATTCAGTAATGTTTTGGCTTGTCAAATATCCCAGTTTCTGCATAACACAGGATTAAAAAAAACACTTCAAAAGCGGCACATGAATGTGTTCCAAGGCAAAGAACTGAATTCCATAACCTGACTAAAAGCTCATACAAACAATTCCTAGTCAGATTAACACAGAATACAAAAGGCTCCCTTATCCTTTTAGATGGTTAGATGTAACCTTGCTATTCTCCTGTAACACATACTAAGAAAGCACCTCAATCTATAAACTCTGCATCGTGTCTCGGGCCAAAAGTTTATGAAGCTCCATGGTTTAACCTTATATCAAGCAATTGTTGTCAAAACTACAGGCATCATTAACAACCAAGATTTGGGAACACTTCTTATTTATCAAAAATGGCTCATACACCCCTTTTGATAAAAAAATAAAATAAAAATGGCTCATACAAATTTAACAAAATAACTGCAACAGAAACCACTTTTTATGACCTCTTAATCATATATTCAGGAATCTTAGTCGTGGTCTCCAACTCTCCATATCAACATCTACCCTCCATCATAGACAACAACTGAGATTATTAAATATGTGAAAATCCATGTCTCCTGCAGATCCTGGTTCCTTTCTGTTCACAGTTCTTTACACTAGTGTTGCAGTGAAGAATTATAGCCTCCTTTTTGTACCCTGTTCTTTCTTGATGTTAATTACGATGATGTTGAATCGTTTGTCCATCAATTTTGTTATAGTATGGACTGTCATAGACCGTCTTTATTACTTTCTGTTCCCTGGCTTTCCTTTATGTTAGTACACTGACATTGTATGTCCATCAATTTTGTTTCAGCAATCTGCATGGTCTTATGGCTAAATTCCACTTTGATGATATAGAACGAATTAAAATCTTAATAAAGAATAACCTAAATACATGATCAACATCCTGCAAAGTATTCAAACTATGATGACCAGAGAACTTAGTAGACGTTTCTCAAAAAGAGGTTCAATATCATAATACCAGATCAACTTCAAGAATATTTTCCATCATAAAACCTAGTTGATAACCAAAAATAAAGCTCACACACTAACTTCATGAACCTATTCTAACAAGACCAAGACTAAGCCCATGTACCCATATTAACTTGGAAAATGCAACAAATTTGCAAGCTACCATCTCTGAACTTGTACAAGGATTTGTCACCAACCTAATCTCTTACTGGCATCCATGTGGCACTATAACTAAACTACCTTCCTTATTAGAGGCAAAGCTCAGCCTTACAAAAGGTAGCTTGACTCAAGCAACCTCAATGCTTAGGCAAAGTATGGGTCAAGTCCAGCGGGATTGTGGGAAGTGCAAGTTTTTTTCGATGAAAAGGGAAACCCGCAGCCGCTACCCTTTGGGTGCGCACAGGGTAAAACCTCCGCTCCTATGCAATAGCTCGCAAACTGCATAGGAGAGGTAACCTGCACTAGGCAAGCCCGTGCGACAAGCTCGACCCAGAAGGCAAACCCCTTGCTTTCGTTGGCAAGGAGTTTCGAACTTGAGATCTCCAACATGGAAGTCCCAAGCCCAAACCACTGGGCCCCCCCGAAGGGGTGGGAAGTGTAAGTTCAGTGGTTGTGGTATTTGACTAGGCCAAACAACACTGGGGACACAAAGGCAAGACAAGTGCGAACCTTGGGAACTGAGGAAGATATCCCTTTTATTGATTACGCAATTATATACGCACTTACAAGGTTACTAGAAAAAATACACAAGAACGGAAGACCAGGACACTAGAAGGGAGGTTTTGGTGTGTAGTTGCTTTGGTTTGTGTCGCTGGCTGCTCATGGCTATTATGGAGGGGTCTCCTCCTATCTATCGGCTTCCTGGGAGAATTAAAGAAGTCTCAAAGTCGGTGGGGAAAGCTCCCTAAGTCGGTACCCACTTAGGCACCCCCCAACGCCCAAAACTACATCTCCCTAGGCGCTTCTAGAATGTTCCGCAAACCTCCCTTGTGTTGTCTTTGTCCTCCAGCCCTCTTAGCCGACTTAAACTTCCTCCTAGGCCTCTCTGAGTCACCATGATGCATTAGTTATATCTTGACTCAGTGAAAATCCATCCCTCACTAGAATTCTCTTGCATGTGCTAGAATCTTTCAAGAACTCCTTTGAGCTCCTATTGTCTCTAGCATTCTCGGAACTTCTTTAGCCATTCTTCCACTTGCATCCATGTGATCTCATGATACTCCTAGGCCTTTTAAAATACCAAGATCCTCGAGCTTAAGTGCTACGCAAAAATGTGCATGTCTCATCATGCTCAAATCTCCGACCTTGACATAGGTCTTGCCATCCTTGCAAGTCATGCCCCCTCCTTCGGCCATTGCATTACCGGTGGACATCTTGCTTCACGTATATTCCTTAACCTTGTCTAACACTATGCCATGTTGATGTTGTGAGCTTGCTTGTGCACCATGCTTCTTCATGTGCTTCATCATACTGTCTTCACGTGACGTACTTCATGTGGCTCCCTTACTTTGTGCATGATATTCCTTGGTGATGTTGCGTCGCTTAGCCATATTATTTGTCATTTCATGGCATGTGTGATATTTGACTGTTAACGCAGGCATGAAACTCCCCCCATCTAATATTGTGTCGTCTCAGGAACAAGTTCCTCTATTGTCTGTGACCTCCATGGACAATGGTCCTTACTATACTCATCTTACTTGTTTGGCTCCAAAAGCCTCATTTCTCCAAGTCGTTATATCCCTCCTAGACGCAATATATCATCTTTACATGACATTTGTTTTACTTGCTTTGCATGCTTCTCCCTAAGCATCCACATCGCTACAAGTTGTTGTCCCAACTCCCAATTGCATTGCTCCACCCTTGCTTGCCACATACATTGTTGCTTTGCATGCTTCACCATTGGCATCACCTCAAGCTGCCCCAAGTTCGAACAACTTTTGAACAAATGTGCTCTCTTGTGCAGGTAAAACCTTTCTCTCATTGTGAAGCTCTCTGACTGGTTGACCTTGTACCATCACCCTTGGTCTTGCAATCATCATGGGTCGGTCTTTTACTGTCACCCCAAGTTGGACTCTTGCCATCACCCTTGTCAATTACGACTATGGCCTTGACTTTATCCTAAGTGTTGTTTGGCCTAATTAAACTCCACAACTGTGTTGCTAACGCTTCCCATCACACTTATATTTTTCCTAGGTGTTGATCTTGGTTGAGTCAAGCTACACTTTGTGAGGCTGAACTTAGCATCTACCAAGAAGGGTAGTCGGGCTAAGTGTTGTATCGATGTTAATAATGACTAGGTCGATCATAGATTGCTACCACAATGGATATTTTTAAAAAGTAACTCATTCGTTTTTTGGATAACCGAAAAATTTCCAAGGGCCAACTGGTGCACAGTTTGAAACACTATTGATAATCGGCCTAACCATCAAACCTTCTCCACTTAAATATTAGGCTTTTATCTGCAACCTCCAAACTCATGAAATACGCCTAATTCACAAATCTTATTGCACTCTTATTACTAAACCAACTTTTTAGTAGAACTCAACTATAGAGAACAGTAACCACAAATATATGTTCACAATCAATGTTGTCCAACTTTTTTCCTTTTTTCATTTTTGTAAATACTGTCACACTTGTTTTAATCCTTCCCAAAATTTTGACTAATTTGGTAAGACAGAATCATTCCATGCCTTCACCTAGTAGGCTAGTATTGCATTTGAAAACTATACTATTTCCAGAAGTAATCATATAGTCCACTTCTTTTTTGTCTTTGTAAAATCCCAAACTCATAAAAACATTTCATCTTCACTAGACGGATCAATCTCTATTTCTAAAATACTAGATTATCTAATATTTACCCTTAAGCCCCATGCCAGATTAAGTTAGTATAGCAAGATGGGGATGGAACGAATTATCAACATAAACTACATAATGAAATGTAGAAAATAATTTGAATGCAGGAATAATTTTCACAATGTACACATCTCCAGTAATGAGTTGACCCCAAAAAAATAATAATTCTATTGACGTAGTATGTAGCATACTAACCCGAATGCCATATGAGAAACTTGGAGTGCGGAAAAAGTCCATTTGGCCCTGCAACAATAAAGATGAAATTGTAACAAAATTTTTGGTTGATTTGCCTCAAAAACTTCTAACACTAAGAGACCACATACCAGCCCATGCATTGTCGGCTGAGCACCATAATAGCCATCATGTGTAGGAGCTATAGAGTTCAACTGTCCCTACATTCCCAAGGCAAGAGAAAACACAACTGTTATTTTAATAGTCCATATCATTTTTTTCAGCCTTAAAACTGTGAACTGCTTTTACATACAAGGCCTTGAATAGTCTGTTGGTTTGCATAGTAGTTATCACGAGTTGGTGCCATCAAGTTTAACTGTACCTGCAAAAGACCAAAAACTTAAAACACCAATATACATTTAAGTAAAGGAAAAAAGTCAAGATACTTGCAGATCATACCATTCCTTGAACACTTTGTTGCGGGCCAAAATAACCATCAAGAGTCACAGGCCTGGAGTTCAATTTGTCCTGCAGAAAATGATAAAAATGAAGTAAATAAGAAACTGGAGGTGACCAAAAAACTAAAAAGTTAAGCTTCAAGAACAGCCATACACATAGCATTCAAAACAACCTCCTCCCACTTTCACCAATAAGAAAAACCTCTTCATTTTAATTTTACCAGTAAGAACACAGTAATGTAAATCAAACGGCAATAAATAAAAGTTCCTAAGGTATCAGAGCAAACCATTTGTTGCAAGCTGTCTGCTGCCCCAACAGCCATAACATCTGGTTCCGAGTTCACCTGCAACCAGGAGATCTTCATGAGATAACATAGAAAACAAAAGAAGCAGTCCCATGATTGCTCTTCAAAACATACCTTCCGTTTCTTAGTGAAGTTGTTTTTCTTCTTGTTTGTCTTGCTCATACTCCTACTTTGGTTATCATCTTCAATACAGAGAAGACCAGAGGCTGATGATGTGCCAGCTTCTAACATGTTCTTGTTTGAGTTATTAAAAGTTACACAACTCCCAAACGCGTCATCAAGTGCACGAAGAGCAAAACTATAGCTCTCTTGAGATAACGACCCTTCTTCACTCAATTTCATAGCCCGATGACATAGCTCATTATATCTCTGGAACCTTGACTGAACATCTTCAGATCCATCCGTCATAGAGTACTTGCTCTTCGCATCTTTTGTCCATCGCTTCAAAATATATTGTGGTGGGATAGAGGAAACAGCACATATTTGGAGAACTATCAATGCATGTCTACAAAGGTAGCCTTTAAATTCAAACAAATGACACATACAAGATATTTCTGACTTCATTTCGTCCAATGTAACAATGAACTCTTGAGTCTTCTCAAAATCTTGAACTCTATATGTTAAGACTATCTCATCTTGCTTCTCTCTTTTAGGACCACAAGCAGTTGCACCCACAACCTCAGACTGGAATTTCTTAAATACAGCATGTGTATAAAGCCCAGCCAAGTGCTTCTCAAATGGTGATGGGGATCTCAAAGCAGGTTGTTTGTTCCATGTATCAGAATCTGCCTTTGCCTCCTCCTCGTACCTATCTTGTAATATTGATTCATATTGCTTTACAAACTCCTGGACGGTGGTTTTCTTATGTACATATTTGTCAAAGAAAGAGTTCACACTCTCTGATCGTTGAACCGTTGACATTCCCGCTAAAACTACATCCCTTATAAATGTAGGGGCCCATTTCATCCGATCTTCATACAGTGAATGAATCAATTCAACTTCTCTGAGATCAAATTTATCAACTAGTTTTCTCCACCTCTTTTCAAACTCCTCATCTGTCCATGACCTGTTAATACATTTCTCGAACTTAGGCATAAACTTTTCATTCTGTTTAATGACATGATTCAGTGTTTCAGACACCTTTCCCAGGACATGCCACAAACAGAAATAATGGAGTGATAATGGCAAAGCCTCTGAAATGGCTGACTTCAATACCAGGTCATGATCGGTGATCACTGTCTTGGGAGCTTGACCGCCCATTGCCTTCAACCATGTCCGCATTACCCAAGAAAATGTTGATGCACTCTCATCAGAGACCAAAGCACATCCAAGTGGCATAAACTGAAAATGCTGATTGACCCCAACAAAAAGAGCCAGGGGCATTTTATATTTGTTTCTGACATAGGTAGTATCAAAAGAGACAACATCGCTGAAATTTGCATAGTCATGCCTGGCTTTGGCATCAACCCAGAACAAGTTCTTTACACGTTGATCTTCACCCACATCAACAGCATAAAAGAAGTTGGAATTAAGATTTTGCATCTGAATGAAGAACTCTAATAGAACACTTATGTCTCCCCCTTCCATTGCTGAATTTCGACCTTTGTCAAATAGAACTTTTGTGTCACTTTTCAGACCAACAACATTTTTGTATTCAGCAAATTGTCTTGCCATTGCAGCATACATCCTTCTTGTTTGTTCACTGACAGCTTGGGCAGGTAGAAGTTCATGATTATGTTCTTTCTCGAATCTATGAATTATCCATTTCCCATCGGGCCTTCTTTTCACATGCATACTTGCTTTGCAATCTGTCTTTGCACATGCTCGCCGACCAGTAGCATTTTCTGGATCCTGCTTGTTTCCTTGCCTACTACGTGGCCGATTTGCAGACTTCTCATATTCCCGTTTAGTTCCATATCTAGAACATGCAAATTTTGCATCAATGAATTCCCTTGATGTCTTTGAGCGACGGCTGTTTTGTATGGCTGTATTGAATCCCATTGACCGAGCATACTCTTGATAAAAGGCATAAGCCTCACCATGTGACTCAAATTCCATGCCAGCCAGCGGTTCAAGGTTCACATCCTCCTTAAACTCTATCATAGTTCCTATGGGAGTGTTCATATCCCCTCCATCTTCTGCATGCATCTTCTCTTCAATAACCAACATCCCATGCATTCCGTCATCACTATGTATTTTTTCTTCATTGTCAAGCATATTTATAATTCCATTTTGTTCCTCTTCTTCTTCTTCCTTATCATGGTCTTGAGAAGGCAGACGAAGATCGATATCCATGCTGCTAAACAATTGAAAGCCTATTGATTTCTCTTTTACTGATACCTGAACGTCAAGAAAAATTAGAGGAGAACTTGTGCAGTAAGGGGGCTATGGAAACAGAGAACTAATTCTTGTTCAATAAGCACAGAAAATACAAGAAGCAGCCCAAAATATCTCTTCCTGCATTCCACCACTCTTCTAAGTCTAACCACAGTCCAAGAATTGTCTATAGCTAACTCGTGATTCCATTAAAGTTTTGGGTTTTACTAAGTGGCCTAAATATCAGAAAACTTTGAGTTCAAGATCATCCATTTATCACGCAGACAAGTGACAACAGCTCATACATTATGATGACCTTCAACTAGCTTTCCATATATCAGGTTTCATCATGTCCTACAGGTACTTCACGAGAAGACATAACTGCTCAGAATTATCAGACAGCAGACATAGAAAGTGATCCTATTGCATTTTTAGAGGTAAATGAAGATCCATAACACAAAGGATCTGCATCAAGCTCTGTCTACCTGAAGATGAAGAACCCTGACCACCTCCGATCCATTAGGGATTTGAATCAGTTGAATATAAAATGCCTCCTCCAAGTTTAGACAGAAATACAAGGGTATATAATGGTATACTCCAGCTGCAGGTGAGAGCGACAGAAATTGCAGCTTACAGTCTATATATCAGAAGTGCTTACTTGAAATCTAACCACATTCAACCTGCAGATTTTATAAAATAGGTTCTTCCCCATCTCTGTGATGGCCGATGGGGGAATTATCCCTTCCCCCTCCACTCTCATGCAGACCTCTATATGGCACTTGACTGACTATAAATACTCCCCCACCCACCATTTCATTTTATGTCGGTGTTTGACTCATTACAGATTTTAAGAAAGAAAAACATTTGAAATTTGTGGTCTTGAAAATAAAAACATGTCATTAACGACAAATGGGAAGTTCAAAGTTAAATTATCTCCAAACATTCTTTTTTAAATAGATTAATAAGGAAAGTGTATCACGTAAAATGAAATGGAGAGGTCGTTCAAAGGTTAGTCCAAAGTAAAAAAGCACTTGAGCGCCAGTCTCCCATGGTCCTTTCCAGCTTCATTAACCGCTTGACCATACACTTGGAGCTAGTCATATGACCATTACTTTGAATGAACAAAGGCAAAGCACAACCTTGAATTGATCTCAATCCAAAGTTGACAACTTTTTGCCACCAAAAACAAAAGAAAATGGATAAATAGATGTATAAACAAATCAGTATAGCAGTAATGCGATCATTACTATCATGGTACATATTGAACAAACTTCTTGTTACATTGCCTCTTGCAGAAATTTTCTTAACCAAATAAACAAAAAGGTCAAAGTATAATACCATAGCTCAATTAAAATTCAAGAATTTTTCGTTCCAATGAGTCTTTGGGTATTGGAAGGCCGACTTTGCACATATGAATCAAAGTGATATGGTGCTAAAGCTAATAAGGGAACTTCTATGCAAATGAGGAAGAGAAAGGTCTCCCAAATGAATATAACCAAATCTTCACGCATTTATCCTATAGTGGTAATTCTCATCTGAGTACTTATATGTGAGCAGTATCTGAAGCATTAATTTGGTGTTCAACGAAGGAACTGTTTTAATTTGCCAACTACTTCATCCAGTTCTAACGGGGAACAGCAACAACCCATAATAGTCCCAAAGGTGGGGTCTGGGGAGGGTAGAGTGTACGCAAACTGTACCACTACCTCAAAGAGGTAGTGCGGCTGTTTCCGAAAGACCCTCAACTCGAGTATACAGAAGTAAAGAGGATATAAGAATAATAAGAAAAACATAACATAACATACCAAAGAGGGGCAACAACCATAACCAACTAATGTGATAACTGAAACGCAGTAAATAGCAAGGATTAACAAAAGTTGTAAGATAGGCCAACTACAAGACAAATGCTACCTACTACTACCGGTAAAAAACTAAAAATCAGGAAACAGATACAATGCACCAATCTATCCTACTAGGAAATACGACAACGCTCAACCAACTACAAACTTTCTACCCTAATCCGCAACCTCTATAACATTCCTATCTAAGATCATGTCCTCAGAAAGTTGGAGCTACGTCATCTCTTGTCTAATCACCTCTCCCCAATACTTCTTCATCCTACCTCTACATCTAGCTTTCCTAAAAACCCACAACCGTCCACACCTCCATACTGGAGCCTCTACGCACCTCCTCTTCTCTAGATTACTCAAACAATGGCTCTAGCTTCATAATCTGTTTTTTTGTGTTCCTTATTTTAGTTGAGTGCAACAAACTTAAATGACTCTGATTAGTAGGATAATCCAAAATATACAGGCTTTACAACTACATCAATTTTGACATATGGTGATAAATAAAATCGCCCTGTTTGTCCACAATGAACATAAATCGAGGCAAAATCTACCTCTAGACAAAACTCTTGTATATAATATAAAAAAACAATAAATTACATCCGTCATAGCGTCACAACACAAATGGTAGCTCCAAAAACAAACAATTTGATTATCATAATTCAAACAGAAAAGCCATGATCATACAATTAGTAACAAACAGCTCATGATTCTATGAAGGATGAGGGAGAGGGTGAGGGTGAAGATTTTGGGGGTTTGGGGAAGAAGGATGAAGAAAAGAATTTGGAAGAAGAGAGAGTGGAGGTTAGAGATTATACCTGTATGTATCTTAGTTTCACGCACGCACATACACACACACTCGATCTGCGATTCTGCAACTGAGAATTCACGCGATGTCCAATGGCGAGTGGACTCTTTTTGTTTCTCCTGATTTAGGGTTTCCCCTTCTTCTTACCAACGCCACTGCAGCGCGTGATTTTTATTTTCTTTTCCTACATTTTTACACATAATAAAAACTCTGCATCTAGTTGTTGTGTTAATAAAAAGATATTCCTATTTTAATTTGGTGCGAAATTAAGAAGAATGAAAAAAAAATGAATCTTATGATCTTAAATTAAAAATATAATAAATGTATTAAAATGTGTCTTTGTTTTGTAATTTTAAACATATTATTTGAAAAGTAAAATAAAAATAGAAAAGGAAAGAGAAAGAAAAAGAGGCATTTTAAAAAATAAAAAAAGTATGATAGATAAATTGAAACATTAAAAGTACCATTATATTTTGATATTTGAGCGAATAAATTTTATAACATTATTCTTTTGACAATCAATTTTTTCTATTACTTACCTAGAAAATATTACGAAACTAAGGATGAATGCAACAAATCTATGCCATTCTTAAGAAACAACAATCAAAAAATGAACAATCTTACTTTATTTTGACTTAGCAAAGACTTTAAGTAAATGTCATCATCTATCGAATGCAATTTAACTTATGTGTATGTTATCTAATAACCTATGCAATTTAATTTAGGTGTCTGTTATTTAGCAACTTGCACATAACCTTACTTTATTTACACACCAAAATTTATATCACAAAAATTGAAATAACTTTAAATTTAACTTATTTTGTGATGGTTTAAAAAATTATCTTAATTTTAATAATTTTTTTCTTTTTCTAATACTCAAATTCGTTCAAACTTGAAAAAATGTAGTTTTTAAAGAAAAAATAGTGGCCGTATAGACCGTTTTATGTATTGGTTAAACAAATTAAAACTAAAAAAAGGAAAAAAATAACAAAAGAAATTAGGCTCAAGCCCAAAAATAAGAAATCAAACGACATATTTCTAATATGATAAGGGAAAACCCCTCTTTCCTAAAGAATACCTATCTATATACGTTAGCATCAGCTTCTTCATGAACTCACTCTCCATGTTTACTCTCGACTAAATGCTACTCTACTTCATCTTCTCTTGTGGATTGTACCAGATTCCGACAGCGACCTTGTCTTTCCTTTTCTCACAGAATTATCAACTGTAAAATCAATTGTCATATTTTGTATATATCTAGGTGGCTTATAAACTACATATTAACAACACTGGTTCCACTAATAACTCTCTACATGTGGCTTTTGAATCATTTTGGTTCTGACTCTAGTCGAATAGAATCTATAATTTTAAAAAAATAATCTAATATTGGCATAAAAAAATTTAGCTCTATTAAACCCATCAAAAAATTCAACAAAAGGAAATGATTCCATGAAATGCACCAATAACTATAATTAAGAAGATATTTTTTTTATACCAAAAGTAAATAGAAGGTAAATTAAGCTATTTTCGATGATTTAACAGCAATATTATCTTCTTCTTTTTTTGCTAGAGATCTAAATAGCTTATGTGGATATTTATTAGTCTTACGGGTATTTGTGATCCAAAAATAGACGAAAATGATATTTTTATTATAAAAAAAACAAATGAATGGTAAATATAAGCTACTTTGAATAGTTCAAGGATATTTTTTAACTCTTTTCCGTTACAAAAACAACCTATCAGATAAAGAAAAATAAAATAACTAAATGAACTCTAAAATCCTACTAAATGAAACCGACCATACTATTGTGGATTCCGATGTGCATATTGGTCTCCAAGCAATAAGTAATTATGTTTATGTATTTTATTGATTACAGTAAGTGGCTTAGTCATAAATGTAATATCTTGTTTTTTTGGGAGGTCTCTTTGTTAAGACTTAATGCCTTAAATAACTTATTAATCGTTGTATAATCTAAATTTTGACTATAATTTCTGTTTTATTCTTTCTTTTCTTTTTTTTTGGGTCGATTTGGCATAATCCAATGTGAATTGAGCAATAATTTACTCATAGTCCTTTGTTTTTTGATAAAGGTTGTTGGGACATTCTTCAATTGTTATTATTTAAAATTAGTTGTCTAATTTCAAATCGTCAGATTCCAAATGTTTAGACCCTTTGTGCTTCTTGATAAGCTCATCTTGTCCCATGAGACTATATATGGCCTTTTTCGATATAATTATTTGATTTGTCAACACTTCTATCGGGATCGGAATGATTATTCTACTCGATAAGTCTTTATTTATTCATTAATATCGTTGGGTACTGTTAACTTCCCCGTCATTTTTGTAACTGTCACTTTAGTGAATTATACAAATTGTTTTCACTAATTTTATCACTTTTGAAGGAGTAAAACTAATTTTATCCAGTCATGTTGGGCACCAAATAATACAATTTTGATTAGGTGAAATCTATTTACATACAACAAACTCTTAGCCATTAAGTGATAATCTTAATTATAATATTATCTAACTGAAATTATCATTGTGCAACTGTAAATCTCAAGAAGTATAGACCTATATGAAGATATTTTATAAAGACAGATTTTCTAAATCATAACCTAGCAATTGTAAGATGGTCATTTTTGAGTGTTCACCAACACCATCAAAATATACTTAACCCTTAAACTAGATTAGATTTTAGATCAAATCGTGTAGAAAACATTTGAAATATGTTATTGAGCTAGACATATTTCACATTTCACGTAGTAAAGAGTAATAGGTTACCAACAAAATATAAGTGAGTAATGTTTAACATATGAAATTTTGGGTAAAAAATTAAAAATAGAGTTTATTGTTAAAGTCTCTTAGCATTCATTCAAATACTCTATGATCAAAACAAATATATAAGGAGGCATAAAGTTTCTCCTTCTCAAAGAAGCGTGATGTTCTTCTAAAAAGCTAATAACGATCACTGTGGCTCTTTATAACAGTCATCTTCTTCATATCTTCCAACACCATTGTTGATCAAAATTTGAACTATTTTTTGCTCACACTTTATTTTCTCTCCAAATTTCTTCTACTGAAAAGATAATAACGATTACTCTTGTTTTTCAGGATTACCTAAATTAGTCAAAAAAAAATCTTCAGCTATCAAATATACACTAATGACCCACTAATAAGAATAATACCAACACAATTCATGACAAAAAAATGAATTATTTTTTATGAATTCAAAATTTATGAATTTTTCCCTCTATAATTACATTATAATCCCTGCAAATTCCTTGAATGCATAACACTATTATAAATGTATATGACACTTAAATTAATCAAGTAACAAACCAACCCTCCCTTTCATAAAAAAAATAATTAAAAAATACACCATAATCATTGTAAAATTTCTGAACTCTAAAATCCAATAAAATCGAGGATCACAATAAAAAATAGATTGGAAAACAGAGAGATATGAGAATATTAGTTATAAAACTTGCAAAGTTAGATTGAAAAACAAATTCAGAAATTTTCAATTGAAAAAATATTATGGGATCAAATGTGAAAATCAAAGTAGAAAATTACGGAATTTGGTTGAACAAAAGTAAAATGAAATGTTTAAGAGAGTTTTACAGTTTTAATATGTAATTTTTTATGTGACATTTTTAAACGATGTGGATATCTACGTGTATGCATTTGTATTACATGCACCACTAAATAGTTAAAAAAATAATTAAAATATTGTGTTCTAACGGACTTAAAAATTCAGTTGATAAAGTGGGGACTAGGAGAGTTTAGATTGTAAATGAGTCAAGTATAGAGGTCTCTTAGGTTATTCAACCTATTGAAATATCTACAAAGGTATAACAATTTATAGATGAGAAACCATAATGAAAATTGATGACTTGTTCCGAAGCCGCAAAAACCCCCTAAAACATTTTGAGGCACATAGTGTGGATTCAATTCTCATTAAGATTGCATTTAACTTAACTCGTTTTCTTTTACAAAATATCTATTGTTATGAAACTATATAAAACAATGAGAAGAAAGTAGGGAGAACAAATAAGACTTATTATTTCTCTTAAAGGGATTATTTTACGATAAATAGAACTCATCTATCTATAGGAAAAAATTGACTTGGTCTCAAAGTTAGGATATTTAAAATTGTTAACTTATAATGTTTTGTATAATGACAAACTACCTAGTGTCACAGGAAAATCAAGACTAGTGTATCTGTGTTAGATACACAAAATCCTACAGATTGATACTTCAAGAATCAAATAAGCAACAATCAATCAAGGAGAAGATTGATTCACTCAAATCAATCTAACCAAAAATTGATTCATTCAAATCAATCTGAACTCAAGGAATCAAATCAAATCTTGCAAGATAAACATGCCTTTCAAAGAAGATCTGCCATTGCTGGAACTCAATCAAAGAAGATTTATATTAAATCAAGCATGGGAATCAAAAAGGAAGAACGCCAAAAAAGGAAAGAAACAAGCTGCCCTCACTGAAGCAACACCTCCATCATTCAAGGGATACGGAATTGAAGCAATCACAATCCTAGCGTCTAACTAGGATGAAGTAATCTGGAAGATAGACACTCAAATCAGCCAAGTATCAAGACTACAAGAAGATCCTCAAAAGAAGGAAGAATATTAAGATCACACAAATATCTTCAAGAGAAGGAAGAGAATCAAGATTACAAGAAGATCTCCAAAGAAGGAAAATCAGCAAAGTATCAAGATCACACAAATATCTTCAAGAGAAGGAAGAGAATCAAGATTATAAGAAGATCTCTAAAGAAGGAAAATCAGCAAAGTATCAAGATCACATAAATATCTTCAAGAGAAGGAAGAGAATCAAGATCACCAGAAGATTTCCAAAGAAGGAAGGAATCGGCTAGCTCATATGGACATGAATCAACCAGCCGAAATCAAGGACTCAGCTAGGATCCTTGATTTGAAATACCCTTGGGTTATTTCTTAACAAGAGCAGTCCTTAAACACTATATAATCCTCTCCTAGCCTTAGTTGTGAAGTACGCACTTCACTTGAACTTATATTGTAATCTTCATTTATCTTTCATAAAACTTTGTACACACTTGAGTGAATAATTGAAAAGAAAAGAGAAAGAAAGATCTGAGTGTAGGTTATACAAGTAGAGGTTGTGTCGAAGAAGAAGATCTGATTTGC